TCAAATAAGAATAGGACTAACCTCGCGCCATCTTGTGATGTCATAGCTGTCAATTAAAACCAGTTAGAGCAAAACATATATTGAATAACATGTATTGGAAGGGAACAATCACCTTTAGTGAGCTTATGGCTAGTGCAATTTTTAGTGGGGTCCCTTTCCTTCGGGGATCAGACTCTTCCAAGTCCACTACCTAGAGCCGAAGCTCAATGCTTAGAAGGAGCAACCCTGCCAGCGCAGACCCCAGTTACTACCTAGTATGTTTCAACTGCATAAGGTACTGAGAACATGGCATTATAAAACCGAAACTTATCTCCATTAGATACCATAATTATACTTATTGACTTAATAAAGCAAAACAGGCTTAAATATAACAATAATAATAAAAATAAAAAAATCGAAAAATATTAAATTTTCCTTAGCCTTCTATGGTTAGTTAATTCATAATATAGGTAATAAAATGAAAACGGCAATTGACAATAAATAATAAATAATAACCTGATAATAATTTTAGAGCCCTACCAATAATTATAGAACAATGATATTTAAATTCATATTGAAACATTAAATTTATTTTGCAAATACTCCTTACATTGCCTGTAGGTTCAACAATTGCAAAACCATCATTTTCTACGCTTAAAGTATGGCTGCGCTAAGTGCTTAAGCTATTAGCTCAGTGTCCGGGCCCGCACTTATAATTCAACATACTCGAGCAACCTCAGTTCATATCGCGATGCCGGCACCAACCAAATAATTAATTGCAATTTAATTGCATGCGAAATTTAAGTGATGAGTCAGTCACGTACTCAGCGTTGAAGGAAAACATAGTGAGGAAGCCTGCAATTTTCAAATAAAACACAAAAAAATGTTCGAAAGATATGTGAAGTTTGCAAATACGCAGTCGGGTCACGTGGTGGACTATGTTCTCGTGGTTATGGACTAATACCCGCAATATAGAGGAGGTCTTTCCCAGCAGTATACCAAATCAGAGTTGCAAGAATGAGTGAATGAGGAAGTATAGACTGTTTCACTGTTATAGGCGTTGGTTCAATTATCAATCAAATTTTCTACGATTTCTTTTTTCCTGGGTTGGATTAAAAACATATAAGTCATCACCTTCTTCGCTTCTGCTCTAGAGCACCAATAATGATATGTGGCACGGTGACACCCCATGCGCAACTAAACTACTCGCGGGAAGGTTCTCGTGCTTATAATGAAAGCTTTCTCATCCATGCAATTGAGCTTAATTTCTTCACTGTAATTCGCCTATTCTCTTTATTTTTACTTCTAAATGATGGCACATTTCCTTTAATAAAGGACGAGAAAACGTGGAAGAGAAAACACAAAGGTGCCTCTGTCTTCATCGTCTGTATCGTGTTCAAAAAACTTAGTGAGTTTAATAGATAAGTTTTCGAAAAACTTTTGGCGCTGCCATAATTCGAACCTGCATCTTTTTGGTAACGCGCTTCTTGTGTGGCGATTAGGATGAAAAATGCAAAATAATTATAAAGTTTTTGATGTTTTAAATAGCGTACGGTTGACGTGGTTGCTTTAGAATGAGAATTTAATTTACATTTGGTGTTTGACGTGGCGCAAAACGTTCCCGATACAGACCCATTTTCAATGCAATACATGTCAACTATGTGAGTAAAATACAGTATATTTCACGAACATTTCATTTAACTTCACGGGTGATCAGGGTGATTTTTTATTAACTGCATTCAGTATCACAAGAATTTCATAAGTCTATATTCATCGATCGTTTCATTTCAACACGACAGGTGTCTGGAAACTTCAATATTATATTGGCAGATATTTCAGACACGTAAATTATATCATATTTCAATTTAAACTCGACAATTTTGTAGTTTCAATAAAGTACCTATCTTTGTGCTGGTATTCTATTTTACATTTTTTCAATCTTGAATTACAGATGTCCCTAAAATGTTTTCACAGTGTTTCAATTACTTCGTACGAAGATTAAGATATATTGTGAGAAAATCAAAGAAGTCGAAAACCGAGGTCCGACACCGTTTATTTAATGCCGTTTCAATTAAGATGGACTGCTATTGTCTCGCCACCCCCGGGGACGATTTACTAAGTTTATTTGTTTGTATTAGGAAGGTGATACAGACGTACAATGGGTATTCTTTATTTATATTTCTTATCATTCTTCTTATATTATCAACATCTTATCATTCTGCTATGACCTATGCATACCTATTTCCACTGCGCAAAAAGATTTCCTACACTCATTTCAAATATATATAACGTTATCAAGAAAGACACAAAAGGATACGTGATTTGCTTGCAAAAAATCAAAAATGAAATATCCTTTATAAAAAAATATACCTACTTAATGTTTTCATCATGTGTAAAATAACACTACAACTAATATAAATAAAAAACCCTAAAACTTAGGAAGTTCTAAACTATAAAAATTGACTCACTTGAATTATTCTTTTGAAAGTCATAGCGTGTTAGCTATGAGAACTTGATCTGACCCTTGCGTAATAATTTGACTCCTTTTGTTAAAGCTCTAGAGACTAATAAATTGGTAATATAAAAAAATAGCATCGCCCACTCACTGGTACGCTATCCCAAAGGGTACGAATAAAATCGCTCACTTATATACATCGCAGACTCTAAATTCCAATTTCAGTATCGTTGCAAGCGACTCGCTGAAAGAACGTCTAAAGAGTGTTACATAGTTATAAACTGAATTGTTAAGTTTATCATCTTATGGTTAGTAAGGCAAATTCTAATAACTGTTTTTATAAATTGTAAGGATTATTGGTAAAAAAAAATAGTTTCACGTTAATTTATTTTTTACATTTTATATGATTTAGTTTATTAACAAAAAAGAATAATCAACGAAAAATTCGGAATATAATTGTAATAAAAAATTCTATTTCTTTAATATGAGATTGTTTAAATACAAAATGAAAACAAAATACAAAAATGTAATCATCAATTTTATACATAATATATACCTGTACTTCTAAAATACCCATCGATGCAGAAGTATATTATTGTCATCTTAATAAGATATTAACATAAGCAATCTCAACACACAATCAGCTATGATTGTATTTGTTTAATTTTTGTTCTTAAAAATTAAAGCTCAAGGTTCTTATTAAATTTAAAACTTGAGAACTTACAAAGTTTTTACTTTGGAATTATTTTAAATCATTTAAAATTTATTTTAATTAAGATTTATTACCTAGTTTATATATGTGATTCATCATAGCTCATAATCATAATTTTTTCCATAATTTTTAAAAATAAATATGATTGAATAATTCAAGCTTCGTGTACCTACGCTTTGAACAAATCTGGTAATTATTATACATATATTATTATACATTATATATTATTAAATCACAAAATAACCGCCGCTTATATTTATTTTACGTACTTAAAATAAATAACAGTCACGTTTGATTCTAATAGACATACACGTTTTTAGTTCTAATAAAATTAAATATCCGGCTTAAATAAGTTGAATTCCCATTGACTGCTTGCTGGGAAAAATGTCGTCACGGTAAATTTAAATTACAAAATTTGTAATTTTTTTATATAGGTATATAGATAATAGATAAATGATAATATAGATAATATTATACAAGAGAAATTACTCGAAAATATTTTCATTAGCTATTTATCAACTGTTAAATACCTTACCTAGTTTATTAAACTTTTAAATTTACCTTTTTAGCGACGAAAAAATCATATAATTTTTTATTCGATTGATAACTATTATTATTCCTTCGAATATTTCCGTGAGGTCGAGGTGACAGTACGGACAAAAAAGCAAAATTTATCAAAAATTCACTACAGGACTAGCAAACTAAACGATTGGAATATATGCCGATTGAACTATTTGACGATTTCATGGAAATCTTTTCAAATTGCCGAAATCAATATGTTAATCAAACGTTAACCGGGAAAATTGAGTGTAATATCAAGTTGGGCGATAAAACAACCTCCAACAAAGTGTTTTAATGAAAGCCATCAGTATATGAAATCACTGACACTTGACGCCTTATTGATAACTGATAACAACCTCGATAATTTATTAGGGTTCCATTACAGGGTGAAGTATAAAAATGATTTGTAAAGCTTTTTTTTTATAATTTAACTAGTAATAGGACCGGACAGACTTTGTCATGTACACACGACTTAAATTCGACAACTTAGAAATTAAAAAAAATATTGTGAACCGAATTGTGAATCTAAACCATTCTCGAATCGACCTAAAGACACACAAAAAATTTCATTAAAATCTCTTCAGCCGTTTAGGAGAAGTTCAGTGACATACGATTTTTTTATTTTAACACTTAATTATTTTAGGATTTGTAGATAGCAGGAAGAAAATGAGGACACCGCTATTAATTTTAATCGTGTGCTTTGTAACAAGTTCCACTTGCGATGATAATGTATTAAGGCTTTTTGAAGAAATCAACAAAAATGTAGTGCACGTTAACGCAATTGGTGCTGAAATAGAGTGGGTGTCGTCTATACAAGCGGAAAAAGAAAATGTGGAAAAAGAAATAAAATTTCAAATTTACCAAAATAAACGAACGTTATGGCAACAGAAAATTTGTATGAAATTATCAATGCTTCAAAATCACCGTATATTAAATGAAACTCAAAAGAGACAAGCATTCCTTTTATGCAGAGGCCCCGCGTATAATATGGAAGAAATAAGGTATAACTTTTACATACCACTTTAAAACATACGACAACTTAAATTTACATTCAGATATTAATAATAAAATTTATTATTATTAATATTTTAACATTAAACTATTATTTTCTAAACAATTTCAAGTTTTCTGTTTTTTAGATTATTGTTTAATTTGAATAAAAAAATGCAGTCAATCTACTATAACGTGGAAATTTGCATTCCAAGCAAAGTCTTACACCGATACAAAGCAATAAGCAATATCACGAAAAAAGAACATATCATTATTGAACACTTGACAAGATTCAAATATCAAATGAAACAGACCAATTTACATCAAGGCAATGTAAAGAAAGGTAGTAAAATTTGCTTGATACAGGAAGATTTCGAAGAACTGGCAGCACACTCAAAGAATGAAAAAGTTTTACGATGGATATGGCTTACTTGGAGAGAGAAAACAGGTCCACCTTTAAAACGTTTTTATACGTCGCTGGTAAATATAGAGAACAAGGCAGCAAGAAGAAATGGTAATACATAATAAATAACTTTCTTGATATTATTTGTCCTTTTTATAAAGTAAAAAGGAAAGGTAACGTATTGACGAGCAAGACTAATATTTTTATTTTTTTATTTTTATGTGAAATGTTGCCAAACGAGCAGACGGTTCACCTGATGTTAAGTGAATATCGCCGCCCATGGACATCTGCTACACCCGAGGGTTTGCAGATGCGTTGACAACCTTTTTGGAAATTGGGCTCCGGCTACCTCACTCACCAGACGAAACGCGAAAGTATTTGTAATACTTCCACTTTACGCTGGTCTTCTGTGAGGTCGAGGTACTTACCCGGACGAGCCTGCCCATTCGTGCAACAGCCGAGGCTGCTGCGTGACTTTACTAAAAATTTTAATTAATGGAATTGTAGAGCCACACATCAGCTTCTGTTAGTATTCATTTTATTATATGAGAAGGTGGCAAGTGAGCTGTGGGTTCACCTGATGTTAAGTGATAACCACCGTCCATGGACATCAACTATAGGGTTGCAGATATGCGTTGCCACCTTAAAGTAAACTGGGCCTCGATTACCTCATTTATCGAGTGTGTTCTGTGAGGTCGTGTTACTTCCCGGAGGCACCTGACCATTCGCACAACAAACAGAAGACTGTTTCGTGGCCCTTCCTCATGTTATGGATAAGCCAGTATGTTAAGAAAAGAAACAAAGCCTCAAGCAAGTGACTAACATAAAATAAAAACTTATACTTTTGTATTTGTATAAAATAATTTGTATAAATAATGCAAAAAGCCTTCTATCATGTTATACATCTGAGCACACCAAAACCTACTTTACATACTTTTCGATGCAAATTTTCAACTGATGTTTAGATATTTACAACTCTGCACCATTATTTCTTTGTCCATGTACAGTCGGTGGATCAACGTGCAATTGATTTAACTTTATCTGTTCCAGGCTATACGGACATAGGTGAATCATGGCGAGAAGAATTAGAAATACCTTACTTACGACGCCAATGCCGTCGACTGTACAATTCCGTACGCCCCTTGTACACGCTACTGCATGGTGTAGTTAGGTACTTCTTGAGGAATAAATATGGCGATGTCGTTCCAGAAAGGGGTCCCATTCCTGCACATTTATTGGGTATGTTCAGTTACAATTTACATTTTACTTTGCTTCGTAATGAATGGATTAATATGTTCTTTTATATTAATCAATCTATTCCGGACCCACCTGAGTCCTCGGCCGACCACAATACACGAATATATTAGCCCCCTTTTTAAAGTGTAAGTTCTCCTGACTCTCTTTGTCTGCAGGCAGTAGAATCAGTGAAGTTCCTTGAGCACAGAATTAAAAAAGTACAAGTATACTTAGTACACTTCATAGATATAATCTATACTCACTATATAAATATATCTTGTATTTACAACAGGAAATCTGTGGTTGCAAAACTGGGAGTCATTAGCTGATGCAATAATACCGAATGTTATTAATTTGGATGCAAGCATGAAGAACATGAATTGGAACGTACAACATATGGTATGCTTACACACAATTAAAAGAGAAGGAAATTAAGAGAGATTTTGGTTGTGTAATTTATTTATTGTTTTCTTCTTTAGGTAAAAAGAGCTGAAGACTTTTATTTATCTTTGAGTTTACCATCAATGACAGATAATTTTTGGGGCAAATCTGTGTTTAATGCTGAGGGAAATGACAATGTACGATGTCATGGCACTGCTGCGAATATGTTTAAAAACGACGACTACAGGTAAACTCATCACTCCGTTAGAGGTTGTGGAGATGCAGTTTTCTAAATAAACAATTTTGTTGAGAACAGAATTGACCAATAATTGATATTCTTATAAATCTAATTAAATTGAAATTGGGAAAAATAAACAAATCGAAAACGCCATTGATTAAAAAACAACAGTCAGCTGTAGTTGAGAACTAAATTTATCACAAAAGAGAAATTTAAAGTGACTTATTAATTTTATGCTTAGAATTTTTGTAGTCATTTCATATAATTTACTTATAATTTACACATGCAGATTATAATTGAGAAAAATTACAGAATGCTGTATTGTTCTGGCGTGTCCTTTCAAGATTTCAACGTAGTACACCATGAAATGGGTCATATTCAATATTACATGGCGTACGAGAATCAACCCGGATTATTTCGGGTAAGAGCTTTAAATTTAAGAAGTTTTTAAGTTATACATAACGTATTTCAAAAATTACATTTACAGTTCAAGCATTTTATAAGCTTCTTTACAGCAAGCAAATTCGGCTCTTCACGAGAGCATAGGAGATGCAATAACGATCGGTGTTGTGACACCGCAGCATTTGAATAGGCTGGGCTTAATTAATGATTCGCTATTGTATTCAATGGATGAAGGAAAAACTAAAAATAAAATAACCATTCAACCTGTACTTAACGAAGAGGGCACTGTTAACGAAACGAAATCAACACCAGCTTCAGTCGAAAGCGGGATAGAAAAATTGATCGAAAGTGTGACGACTGGCGAAATACTTTTACTGAAACGCGCCTTAAATAAACTGCCACATATTCCATTTTCGCTGCTCATAGACGAATATCGTTGGAAGTATTTTGAGGGGAGAATAGATATCGAATCGTTGAACAAGGAGTTTTGGGATATGTCCCTGCAACTTCAAGGCATTTCACCACCCGAAGTAAGGGAAGAAGAGTTCTTTGATGCTGGTGCTATTTATCATGTGGCTGACAATACGCCTTATATAAGGTAATTCATATATTTTCTAGGCTGTTTTGATGAATTTCTGTAACTAGAAGCTCACGGTTCAGTGCCGCCAACCATCAATACAACATCGATATCAGTCATTAACATTAGAACCAGTTAAATCGACCTTGAGTTTTATCGCGTTAATTTTTTTAATTTACTGGTTAATTCAATTCTCTAGTGTTTAACTTCATTTTTAAATTCATGATTTTTGACTTTTTAGAAAATATCTTTGCGAGTTGGACATAATAACATTGTACGCTGTATACCTATTACAGATACTTTTTGAGCAGTTTTCTCCAACACCAGTTATTTGAGCACTTCTGTAAAGTTTCTATCTTCGGCAATAAACGAGCGAGGGAACCGTTACCTGAAACCATGGTTTTAAATAGATGCGACATATATGGGGCTAAGGCGGCTGGAAAACTTTTAAAGTAAGAAAGTATTTATACCTTTTTAAGCTTGGTGAAAACATTTTGGTGTTAGGTTTTAGACTATTAGATTAATAATACTAATCTGAATCATACTTCTCTTTTTCCATCATCAACTAATCTAAATCATAGAATAGAAATTAATAGAATAGATTCAGTTTTAGAGCATAATAGTTTTAGAAAATAATTTCATACAAATTTTAATGCATAATAGTTTTAAGAAAACTTTTCATGTAAATTGTACGAAATGAAGTTTCATGAGAAAGGAAATACGTTTTCCAGTTAGAATATCCGATGTATTATCAGGTTTATTATGGACTAAGTGTACGTAATTTCATACAACAAACAAATAAATTTATTTTTCAGGAACTTAATGTCATATGGCCATTCCCGAAACTGGCGAGAGATCTTAAAAGTGACTATAGATCAAGAAGATATATCACCGGAACCCCTTTTGCGTTACTACCAACCGCTATATAGCTTTTTAACGAAACTAGTCCAAAAGCATAAAATACCAGTAGGCTGGTAGAACAATATCATAAACTAAACGTATAGACGAAGCGAGTAATAGCAATTATATAACTCTCTGAATAATTAATATTAAGGCATGTCGAAGTACGCATACAATATAAATTTAACATTTTCATAGCTTTGTATTCATTATCTGCCATATTATATTGCCACAGCAGTATGCATACATTTCCTCGGTATTATATACTTTGTTAATAGTATCATTAATTTATTTTATTTTGATGTTTCAAAATTTTTAAGCTATTGCATAGCTTTTATTGCGGGCTTTGAGCGCGGCGACCGAATCATGAAATTCCATAACGAAAATAACACCTAACAAACGTAGATATTTTCCTAGTGCAAGAGACATTCTTGAAACCTAGTGTACGCGATCCCAGAATCGCAAATTACAATATTGTCCGCCACGATCGGTTAGCAAACCGTCTGGGAGGCACACTAATTTATTATAAACGGTCCTTGCACTGTTGCCCGCTCGACATTCCAGAGCTAAGTCAAATAGAGGCATCCACGTGTAGGTTAGCGCTCACCGGCCACAGGCCACTTGTACTAGTCTCAGCCTACCTCTCGGGGAATAGAACCCTCCTTCAAAGCGACCTAGATACGCTTCTTAACTTAGGCCCTTCCGTGATAATTGCAGGAGATCTAAGCTGCAAACACGGCTCATGGGACATCAACAGCATCCCAAACAACAACGGAAAGCATCTCTTTAGCTTATCCGATAACCTAAATTTCAGTATAGTCGCTCCCGCGACTCCCACTAGGTATCCTACGGTGGACAACTACCAGCACGCGTCACCGAGTGTCCTAGACATAATGTTATTCAGGGAGGTCTCGCTCGACATCGAGTCGATAGAGACCATCCATGAACTAGACTCAGACCACAGGCCCGTCCTGTGTAAACTGGGCCAGAACGCCGGCGCGGTCCCTCCGACCAAATCCGTAGTGGACTGGCATCGTCTTGAGGTCAAACTCAAGGCCTTGGACCCCCAGGACTTAGTAGACTTACCCGAGACAATAGCTACGTTCGATGACGCAAATCGAGCGATAGCGAGTCTCCGTGAAACTATTACTTCCGCAGTCACAGACTCGGAACGGACGGTGAAACTGTCGGGCGACCGACGGTTTAACTTTCCGCCCGACCTACGACTGCTAATTAGACAAAAAAATGCAGCTAAACGCGCCTTCGACCGATACCGATCGGAATCGAACCGAACTCTACTTCGACGCCTTCAGCTAGAAGTCAAAGATCGTGTATCGGAACACCGACATACAACGTGGGACACTCTCCTAGAGGACATCGAGCCATCGCACACCGCCTACTGGCGGTTGGCCCGCAGTCTGAAAGCAGACCCCCGCGAATCTCTACCGCCGTTAGTTAGATCTAATAGCGCTTCAGTAGCCCTAGATGACTCCGAAAAAGCCGAATGCCTTGCGGACAACCTAGAGCAGCAATGTACGCCATCGCGAGAACTCACCGATTTCGAGACTAGGGCTGCGCTTCCACCGGAAGGCGAACCTCTAAATTCAGTGACCCCCGAAGAGGTCCAAGATATTATTAAAAATTTAAAACCAAAATCCGCCCCGGGCCCAGATAACATAAGTAATAAGATACTCAAAGCTCTCCCTGGGCCGGTTATCTGTTTACTGGCGACCATTTTCAATACCCTTCTCTCCAGTTGCTCCTTTCCGGACGACTGGAAGCAAGCCACGGTTATCGGCATTCGCAAGCCGAATAAACCAGCCAACCAGCCCTCTAGCTATCGTCCCATCAGCCTCCTCAGTTGCCTGGGGAAGCTCTACGAGCGGCTTTTGTTAAACAGGCTCAAAGAGCACGTGTTTTCCAACGGCCTTCTGCCGGCGGAACAATTCGGCTTTCGAGCTAGACACTCTTGTCCCGATCAGTTATACCGCCTAACGGAGCACATCCTAAAAGGCCTTAACCACCCCAAACACATTAGTACAGGGGCTCTCTTCTTCGACGTCGCAAAAGCATTCGACAAAGTCTGGCACAACGGCTTGCTTTACAAGCTGTACACACTCAAAGTGCCAGATAGGCTCGTACACACCATCCGGGCCTTTTGGTTGAACCGCTCTTTTCGATATCGAGTCGAGGGCACCCTCTCCACAAGCCGCCGCCTCACGGCCGGCGTACCACAAGGCTCCTGCCTCTCACCCTTGTTATTTACGCTCTACACGAGCGACATACCTAGAGACCCCCACGTCAATCTCGCGCTTTTCGCGGATGACACGGCGCTCTTTTACTCAGATCGCAACCTCAGTCAATTAACGACTCGACTCCAAAGCGCCGCCCACCGCCTCGGCGATTGGTTCCGCAAATGGAGAATCGATATTAATCCAGAAAAAAGTGTGGCGATTCACTTCACTCGTAGCACCCCCAACCCCCATCCGCCACACCGTTACAAAGGTCCTCGCCAGTACAGAAAGTTGGGGCAAATATGGCCAAACTCTCCCCTGGGAGAAAACGGTCAAATATTTAGGAGTTACTTTCGACTCGCGTATGACTTTCACTACGCACGGCCGGCTACACAATTTAACGAATAAGAAAAGTAAAATGCCCTTAAGGCACAAATTACTGTTATATAAAGCTTGCGTAAGGCCAATCATGTCCTACGCATGCATGATCTTCGCACATATAAATCCTACGCGCATTAACGAATTGCAAGTAGTTCAAAGTAAGTTTATCCGCCGCGCAACCGGTGCGCAATGGTTTCAGCGCTACGTCGACCTGCACAGCGATTGCAGACTCCCGACGATTCGCGCACATTTTAAAGATTTGACAAAACGGTTCTTCGATAGAGCCCAGCATCATCCCAACCCTCTGGTGGTAAGCGCAGCAAACTACCTACCGGACACTAACGCGAACGTAAACAAGCGTCGCCCGCGAAACGTCCTCATCGACCCGGTGAGGACTTAGACACGATGGACCCACCGCCGGGGGTCCCGCCGGATAACACTACACCCACAGTTAGTGTAACAACAATCACACCAGTTCGCCCTCGCCTCCGAGCACGGCGAGACCCACACAACGCCTACACAAGGTACACCCGCGTTCCGGGGCGGTTCTCACCGCTCCCAGCCACCGATTAGCTAAATGCATCAGTCGACGGCCGTCGGGGTCTCGGTCCGAACCGGCGACCTCGATGGCCCTTAGATGACACACCATAGTAGTTAAACGCACGCATGAGCACATGCGCGACCCTACCCATAGCGGAGGGTCCAAACCCGTGGGTTCTGGCTAGCCCACCGGTTCTGCGTCCGATGAAGCTTTAATAGTCTCGGGACTGAAAGCAAAAACATCAGTTAATACAAGATACAAGAACACCTAACACCCCCCACTCCGCCTACCATGTAGCTCGGCCGAGCGTTCGCTTAGCGTGTATGTATATGGTACGACTGTACAAAGCTCGCACGGATGGAAATTATAAAATGATATTATAATATTATAGTATCATAATTATGATATTAAGAGCATATTAAGTCTCAAACTTATGTTTCTTATTTCAGTTACCATAAACCAATAATAAAAATATTTTAAACAATACTAACTGCTCATTTATTGAGTAAAAGAAAAAAAATTGTTTTCTTATCGTTCACCACGCTCAAAAAGTGAAACTTGAATTAAAATCAAAGAAAATACTTCAATTAATATCAAAGAAAAAAAGATACTGCATAACTGATAAATAATTATAATTGCATAAGTTGATAAAAATGCTATGCACTAGCTTTACCGCGGCAGTCCCCGAGTGCCATTTAAATTTTATTTAATTGAGTAGAACAACATTTAAAATGTGTGTGGCGACATTACAGGTAACATTAAGTTAAATTTTATAAGACGTAGCATTTAATGTTTGTATGAAATGACGCGCAGTTCCCCTTTATTTGCACAAATAACCGACGTAACAATATGATTATATTACAACACAGCTAACGACACTACATTATACTGTCATAAGCTATGCGTGGTACATTTTTAATATAATGAAAAACGTGTTTAAATTATCAATAAATACAATTTATTAACTTATTAAATAGTGTTCCCTTAAATATACTTCTTATTTTAATTGGACTAAAGTAACATGAAGAAAATAGAGCAAAAAAAATAGCAAAGAAGCTTGACAAAATTAGCATCTCAAAAATAAATTAATAAGCCTTTCAAATAATTTATATCAAGCGTTTCCAACGAAATATTCGTTACGGAATAATTATGTACATTTAAGTTTAAATAATGCAATAGCAAATATCAAAGATTTAATGGTTTCAATGTTTTTAACTTTATATTTACATCTATATTTAAAATATATTTACAAAATACTAAAGGCACTAATGAATTATTCTCAATACTATTGCAATTTTGGCCGGAATATTTTTTATCACAATCTTTTTTGGAGTATTCTGTTATACTAGTATAGTTTAGAAATATTTAATTTTTTTAAACTATTAAAAATTTTAAGAAAATAATATAAATTTGGCAAATATTTTTTTTACTACAAACAATAAATGTAATTTGTTTAATAAATTTGAACCTTATGCCATCATTCGTAGTTACATGGGAATGATTTAAGTATACCAGTTAATGCTTCTAACTCAAACATATTTATGCACGAAAATGTTAAATTTACTTCATTTTATACTGATGATATGTACATATTCTATATAGAGCACTGGTAATTTATTGTAAATGGTATTTGCCTTTGTAATTAAAAGCTATTATTTTTGGTGGTAACATAAGTGAAATAGACCTAACTTATTTCTCCCCAGTGATAACAAAAAAAAAAGAACCATACCAATTTTGCCGTAGATAAAATAATTTAACAACGGAGATTTGAAGATTAAAAATGGACAACGATTTTTTGAATCAGAACAACTTATTTAACGGCAACATTGTTTACAAATCTTTATGAGTCTTTAAAAATTATCACTGGCGTCGCATGGTAAATGAAATCACACCGTCGCACGATCGCTCTGAGAATATCTCACGAGTGACTTCGGGACATGAAAATGTGTTCATAGTCTAATGCACGTTATGAAAGTGTCGTAGCGTGTGATATCCAGTCGACGGTGTGCGCCACACGATGGTAGATGCCAGGCTGGCCTCGGCTGGCGCAGGAGTAGCCGGCGGAGACGACACCGATGAGGTACCACCTGCCAGCTCTCTCCAACATTAATGGACCCCCGCTGTCACCCTGACAACTGTCTTTCCCCCCGCCCCGGTAACCAGCGCAAAGCATCTCTGGGTATATGACCACGTTGATGCCTGAAATCGAAATATCTACATGGGTACAAGAAAACATAGACCAAATACAAATTCTAAACTAATTTACAACAGTTCTGTTATGTAATTATCATAATATAATAAGATGGATCTTTGTAACATCCGATAGTGTTGCATTTCGCCATTTCTTTTAAATTACAAAATTATAAGATACAAATCTTTCTTCAAAAGTACATCTTATTTTTTAATTTTCAGCAAACAGCAATCTTTATGGAAAAATTAAACTAAGAACACATGATTGCACCTTTTGAGCCATTATATATTATAGCTTTAAGTTTCAAACTTATCATATTTGTTTGAAATAAAGTAACCACTCGCTTTCGAGTTAATTTTGCATCAATAACAAGTTGCGAGCCATTGCCCAACATTTACTGTTACTTTAAATAAATAAATATTTTTACGACACATTTTTTACACAACGTTCTCTAATCCCAAACTAAGCAACGCTTGTACTATGGGTATTAGATAATTGATAAAGATACTTAAACATACTTTTCTTTTTTAAATAAATACATATTATACATATATATATATATATATATATATATATATATATATATATATATATATATATATAAACACCCATACGGTAGAAAAACACTATGTTCATCACACAATATTTTTCCAGTAGTGGGAAACGAACCCACACACTCTGGCGCAGGAGGCAGGTACACGACTCACTACACCACTCGAGTCGTCAATTTACTATTACGGAATGATCTATGATTCAATTAATTGAAATTTGAATTGAGTGAAGTAATTTAAAAAAAAAACTCTTTATTAAATGGAACGCAAATGGATGCAACCCTACGATTATTGCAAATGTCCATGGGCGGTGGTTATCCCTTAACATCAGGTGAATCGCCAACTAGCCTGCCACCTGCTCACATAAAAAATACGTAAACACTGAATAAGGTTAATCGCGTAATTGGACACTTACCATTAGCCCGATGCCACCTCTCGCACACCCTGTTATCCAGAACGGGCACATCGACGGCCTGCAGCGTTCGCGGTCTTAACCTTGAGCCTGGGCTCAAGGCTCCCCAGCCAGCCGCCCAGCCGTACTGTCCCAAGAAGTCCGACCCTCGCTCCGGTAAGCAGATTGGCGCTGGAATTATTGTATGCGAAGGTTAGAAACGTATCAAAACAAGGATGTCTTACAGGATTTTGTTTTATTTATTAGGTATGCTTACAGCTAACATATAAAAATGTTTATGTATAGATTAATGCATCCAACAAAACATTGCATTAATGCTTGCCAATTATTAAATTATACACAACTTTTAATTATATTAGCGACAAATGTTTCAATATAAATCTAAATTTTAACTTAACTATATCAATATAAATGGAATTTATGACAAAACTTAATACAAAATATTAAGTTAATGGTAATATAACAAATAATTATATTAATCAAGTAGTTTCAGCACCTTATACTATAATACGTATTTATACGTTATAGCTTTTTTTTATATAATACTATTTTCTTCAAATTCAGGTAATTCTGGGAGCTTTTCGTGCATAAATTATCTTTAGACTCAACCCAAAAGCGGGATAATTAATAAGGTCATACAAATAATTGCCCGTGGTGATATCGAAGCCAAGTGTTATGAAATTTCACTAACTTAGACACCTTAATCGCAAATTACGATGATTTGTCAGAAATAGGTTTGCAAGTTCGCTCTCATTTATACAATTCCAAAATAACTTTTTAAATTTCTTGTAATAGAAACGGTAATGATGACACATCAGTTTCGCAAAATCGACATTATTTTTGCGATTAGTACGAGATGAGCTATCGAACCTTTTAGCTAAGGGATTGAGAAGGTAAGTTAAAAATGAAAGGTAAGGGGATCTAGAACCTTTGGAGGATTTGGTTAGTCCACGAATAGGCAATACGGTGGATTGCCTATTCCTGAACTTACGTTACGTAGGCCGAATTTTTGAGCATCTATTGCTACAAATAAAGTCATGATACCGATGTCGACAGAAAGAAATATATAGCAATGAAAGATTTCGAAATTAATTACAATATTTTAATTATTTTATGATAAATAATTACTAATCAGGTTTTAGGAGAAAATTGTTTACAATGCTAGGTATCCGTAGTCTTTCTCGTCTGTTAATAAAGACAGCGAATGAGTAAGTATCTATAACGCAAATGCAAGTCTTCTTAGTAAGGGTTGCATATGACTCATAGCTTAAGGTTAGACTTCCGGTTACGTCGTTAGCTAGACGAAACGAAATGGAAACCTGTATGTTATTCCACATCAAGCCGGTCTTCTGTGAGGCAGCAGCAAAAGCTGCTTAGTGGGTCTACTGTGACCTGTATAAATCGAGTGTTCGACCAAACCTTGACGACGCCCATGTGTGGAGTTAAAACTGTTGATACTCACGTAGGCTAAAATAAGACTTATATAATACTATACCTGTCCTATTATATTATAAACTAATCGTTTTAAAAAGAGCAACTGTTAAGTTTCTTGCCGGTTTCTTCTCAACAGATACTGCTTTCCGAATTAGTGGTAACTTACTTACGAACATATTGACCTTTATGCAAAGTTTTGACGTTTCATTAGAATGCACAAGCGTCTATGTAAATGAAGATATTTTGAATTTGAACCCACCTATATGCGGCATATAATGCACGTTGCGATCCAGCGTGAGCACCGCCACGTCGAATCGGTCCGCCTGCGGGGTGAATTTGAACAGCGGGTGGACTTTTATGGTCCGTACGCCGAACGTGTAAGCGGGCAGGGGCTCGGCGGCCGAGTTGATGACGTAATCGCCGAGGGTCACGCGCACGTGACGCGGCTGGGCGCGCGCCACGCAATGGCCGGCCGTCACAACATGGCGCCGGGAGATCAATGAACCGCCACACCTGGAATATTAAAAAAGCCGCTCCAACAATCCCAGTAGAGAGTAAAGTATCTAGGTAGAGCTAAGAAAAGATAGGAGAAAGTAAAAGAACCCTGAAGGGAAGCAGGTAAGAAGTTCTGGATAGTCCACTTGCCATATTATCGAATTGTAGAAAGATGCTAAAGCCAGTGATAAAAATAAAAAATAAGAATCAATATCTGGCAGCTGGTATTTTGCGCTTTAAAAGAGCTGTACAGATGGCTATATTTATGACAATTAAATGAAAATAATAATTTATATTGTCATTGTAATATTGATAAATTTCAAAGAAATATTAATCAATTTAAGCATTTCAATATCAACCTACGATTAACCTTTAAATGTATAATGTTACAAATAACATTCTGCTACCACTTAGAGCATATCCCACATAGGTACCTACTACAATGTCTCGGATCCAAAACTCTTCAATACTACTTACAAGATATCGGCAGAAATATGGAACTAAGGGCGTTTGGAGTAATGATACTTACCATTGACCGAAAAGAAAAATATAAATAAGAAATTCTATTAATTTATAAGATAAAAACGATAGTTACTTCATAACATGTACTACTACTACTTAAAGCTAGCCTGTAATTACATAAATTTTACATGCATACATGCATACCACTGTTTTTATTGTATTCTCTTGTGTAAGACAAAACTACCTAAAACTGCTTTACAACACATTTGAAAATTAGCCATAAAAAATTTCGAACAATGGGTTAACTATAATACAACAAAACAATATGAAGTATTCCTATCATTTTGGTTACATAAAAGCAAAAGTTGATTCGTATTGCGTGAGTTGCACAATTATTTGCAAACTTCGGTAATTAAGTGAAAACATCAATTATAGCCAAACGCTAATATAATCAAACTATAATACTAATTACTAAAATAGTTTAGGGCCTAACGTCATGATAATAAAATAAATAAATGACTATATAAAATAACGTATTGCAAGATAAATAAAAAAAAACTTTTGTGTTATTCCAGGTGAATGCTTCCCATTAATAAATGCAAAAGTTTGTATGAAAGCGTCTTTTCTCTTTACAACTGAATGAACACTGAATGAACTCAACTATATGCTGGACAATCAATTTTGAAGAATCAGGCGGGTGAAGCCTTAGATAAACTTATGTGGTAGATAAAATAAGGCTGTCTTATCGCTAATGAGCGATGTCTTCTATTCAAATTCATAATTAATTGCGGCGAAGAATTTTTCGACTATTATTTATCTACACTTTTTAGGAAGGGAATTAAACAAAAATACGATGTTATTTTCATTAAGATTTTCCAAATTTGGAGATACATATGATTTTATGTAATCGACGGCCTCGGCCTCAGAAGCAACAGAAGCAAGTAAATTGCGAAAACATGAGTCTCTTCATGTAGATCCTGTCTTTTTGTGATTACACTAAATATATTCTGTGGCCCAATCTCCACGGCGTTCGTGTATTAGTATTTTATTTAGAAGAATAAAAGACATCCCTTCACCGAAGTCATTATGATACATAAGTTATAAAATGATTTTGTTAATAAACATGCATTATACTAAACATGCCACTAAACGTATTTTAAACTTTTCTACGAAGAGGAATGTGCGAAAAAGTTTCGTGAAATTTATTTGAACAAATAAAACAAGATGTAACTTTACGCGAGCTTAATTAAATTATCACATCATAGTTTGCGTAAGCCTTCCGATGCTTGTAGCTCAAAGCATTCTTTGTACCAAAGATTTAGGAAGGTAAACAGCGATTAAACTACACTATATCTAATGTAATAAACCAAAACCAAGGGAATTTAAAAGACTTTATTACAGAATTTAGGCCTTTTTTACAAAATATTGGGAGTAATATAAGAATAACGACTGCACTACGTGGTCTAAAGGAGCTTCTACCTACTTCATGCATGTCTCTTTCGCACATTTACCTCTCTATCCAACACTGCTTCCAACCAATAAGCTCGAAAATCGACATGAGCATGTTGCATCTGTAAAATTAATTGGTTATTTCAATATTAGTAGATATAAACATTAGTTACAAAGCCTTTGTATCGTTTGATGAAACTACCAATATTAAACAAATGACCTTGTAAACTTGTTTATTAATATAAGGTGACATTATTTTAAAGGGGTATGCACTAAAAATGAAACTTAAATGTCAGTTTAATAGATATTTTCGACAATTTATCTAATAAACTAACATTTAACTATATTTTAGGTATTGAAATGAAAATTACAATGATTTAGTTAATTGGTGCAAATATTTAATTATTGGAACTAGCATGAACTTTTTTATTCAAAAATGTAAACATACATGTTTCTTATTTTTAATAAGTGAAGTTTTTATTATATTTTAAAATTTCGTTTATATTTTGTTGCAAAAATCTCTTTTTTTTAGTTGGTGTTATGGCCTTTGAATTTATTAAATCGACTTCATATTCTCATAAACGATTTCGCAGAAAAGTATTATCTATACAGGTTTATTAATACGTTCGTTAAAGCCCTAGAAAAGTACAAGTAGGAATTACATGATTTTATTGTTATCAGTCACTAACTTGGCAAACCATACACGAAAATAGTGAAAAAATCGACGACAATATCGTACAAGTAATGAACAATGCGAATGTTAGATGTTAGTCTGATGTCTTCTTAGTGTTTTTAGTAATTTAGTGTCGATAAAGATAATTTAGTATTCCTTAAACTTTATCATCTAATATACTATTTACAAAAAAATTTCACTATATAATACAAATTTTTCTTGTGTTACTAAATAAATGATACTTAAAATAAATTCTTCTTTTGCAAGAAAAACTCTTCTATTCATACAAAGTTCAACATATAGAAATTATGAGCACTTCAATTATAAGATGTGAGTGAATGTATTTATAAAAAAGTGTACGTAGATAGAATACAGTTAACGCAGTCTTAATTTGTAAACTAAATCTGACAGTTACACTTTTAATTCAATGGTATTTAACGCTGTTCGTCACATAAATAAGTATTTGCAGTGCAAGTGTCTCCATTCTCCAGATTTAAAAATATGTAAAATAGATTCGGTAACTCGGCTTGCGCAGTTGCTAAGCTGTTAGCTTCAGCACCACGGGTCATGGGTTCGGTTCTCACAAGGAACAAGTACTTGTGCGCAAAAATGACTTCTCTGGATCCAAACACCCGGGTGTTTCTTCATGTGAAATTAGTGTATGAAAGACGCACTGGATAGTGCGGATTTTTATTAATTGAAACAGTGACGTGACACGGCTCAACCACTGCTATGAGTAAAATAGAGTAGAGTAAAATATCTTTTACCAGCCAAACGTCTTAGTAACTAATTTAAAAGTCAGAGTAACCTGGAGGATCCGATTCGAATGTACGCTTGCCAGGGGAACGTGCCAAAACCTGCGTCATCTCCACCCACTATCCTTCGCTGAGCCGTCTGCTTGCCGACTGCAATACCACAACCTGGAAATGAGAAAAATAAAATAAGTAAATTGTTCAATACAATTCTGATATTTTGAATTATATACTAATTTTGTGATAACATTATATTTAGAAAAAATCTATTATCAGACAATATTTGACGAAATTTTTTATTTTTATTTTTAGGCGAATTTCTAAAGAATAAATAAATTTACTGACTAAATGAGAACCTTTTAATCAAGATTTCATACTATAATTAACACAATACTAAAGCCCTCTAATGACTAATACTACTAAACTTAACGTATACCTTTGAATGACATTTGCTCCATATCCTGGCGAGGATTGATCAATTTTGGGAGCTTCCTCAACCATGTTAATAGTTTATTTTCAGCCATAATTTTAGCAAATAAAAAAACCACGATACAAATAGTCCACTTCACCATATTTCACTTTTCAATATAGATTGAAAACAATTAAGAATCATATAAAAGGTATGGATCTAAGAAGAAAAAGAACAATAAAAAAAGTAATATGATATAATTAAATAACAAGATAATGTAAATAACACATTTGCATGTATTATTATATTGTTGTTAACAATGGTGCTCATAGATTTGAACCATAAGCAGATAGTAATAAGATGATAGCAGTTATAGGGCAACTCGTGTTTCTAGTAAAGAAGTCTAAAAATGTAAAACCATGTAAACCATAATAAACCCCACTGCTATTCGAACCTACAAATTCGAATTGCGAATCAATTCCTTTTGTATGCTTAGGCTAGCCCCTAGTGGTCTAGTGGCCAGGAAGCCTTTTTAATATATCGAAATAAAGCTTCTTCAATTGTTATTTATACTTAAGCTTATCACGATAGACAACGCCAATACCTTACAATATTGTCACCGTGCTTATCACGCTCCTAACGTGACACGTAACATGAGCTTTATCACCGTACGTGAAGCGAATTTTCCAAAATAGAATCCTGAAAACGGAAAAGCACGGTGTGCTTCGCAGTAATCAAATCCATATCTTTAGACATTTATTGAAGTCCTATATCATACAAATACCAAATACCATGCCAAAGTTGATGTTCAAAGAGAGAATGTGTGATTCTTTATGACTGTGATATTCTTCAAAATTCGTCTACAAAACTCTTTTCATTGTCAGTATTGTTAATAGGTTATATATGCTTTGGTCATAAAAGTCGCAAAATATTTTTATATAAATATATAAATCATTTCAATCTTTTTAAAGCTTACGTTAAATTTTTTATAGCTTAAACTGTTACATTAAAATTTAAGTAGGTACTTATAGCTTCACTGCATGCGTTAAACGATTTCGCTTACTTTCCACTACACTGAATTGCGTTTAACAATTACGTAAACTTAAACATTTGAGTTTAAGTTTAGTTAAATATAGGAAATAATTTACGCACTGTACTGTACAAACCGATAACTAAGCAGCTAGCTTCGGCATTTATGTTAATAATTAGGCCAATATTTCCTGGTTTAATTTCATAAATAACAATACAGAAAGTTACAAGTTGTAACTATAAGTTGATATAATAAGTATAATAGGTTTCACTGGAAATTTTAAACGATCTTGCCTCTTTACTACGAATATCAAATTTCCGACTGCTTTAATGTATACAATTACATGTTAAGTAAGTAGCTAAAAGTAAAATTTTTCCGATTATTTTAATGGATAAAGTAAAACAATTATTCGTATCACTTAAACAGTCACTGTGAACTCCAATCCATGTACAAAATACAGTATATAATTATATCGACTTCAGTACAGTATATCATTTTATTATTAATTCAAAATGTTCAACCTGGTGAACCCAAATATAAATGGTAGCCCATTATTAAATGTGATATTTGTTTTTAATTTGTCTATTTTTGTCTGTGATGTAATTTTTGACGCGAAATAATTTCAAAAGCTATTAAGTAAGTTGGTAAAGTCAATTCCACGCCTTCCGCTTATATCAAAATCAAACGCAATCATTATTGAACTTGATGTAAACGTAGCTTTAAACCGGCCCAGCGCGAGTCGGACCCGCGCACGAAGGGTTCCGTACCAATATCTATAAAAACAACAAGAAAACAATTATGTCTGTAGTATGGGAGCCCCACTTAAATATTTTTTATTCCGTTTTTCAGTGTTTATTTATATAGCAACAACAGAAACATCATCTGTGAAAATTTCAACTGTCTTTTTATCACGGAGATACAGCTTGATGACTGACGGACAGACAGAGAGCGGAGTCTTATTAATAGAGTCCCGTTTTACCCTTTAAAATGAGCTGTTGTTTACAACAAAAAACTACAATTTAGGGTACGGAACCCTAACTAGCTTAATGAATAATTTCGCTACCTAAGATTGAGGCCGTGTATGCATATTATTGTTCTATTGACCTAATTGCATATTAAACCACCAGTTCCATATTCCGAATTCCATTACAGCTATAGTAACTAATTACGAGTACGTATTTTTTATATTTAATTGCTTTTATGAAGAGTAAAAATTAAGATATGCGTTTAAAAATTGTTTCTTTCATAAGTAACAATAAAAAATGGATTATATCTTCGATATTAACACTGAGCCATATTTTATGCGATTACAAATTATTTTACCCTATGCTATGGTTTACGTATAAAGATTTTTTTTATTTTTTTAACAAAACACAACACTTTGTTTTATTATCAGAGTACACTGAAATAAAGCAAAACATAAGCCTGAGTTAAACATTTACAATAAAATATCAAAATTTAAATATAGCTTCTGATTAAATTTATGCTGCATACAGATTTGATTTTCACGTTAATATAAAAAGCACTCGCGGTCACTCAACCGTCCGATTTACAAAATATCTAAATTAACACTTCACTGAAAAAGCCCGTCCGGTGCAAAACAACGTTCGGTGCGAACTAAAACTTTTCATTAAGTTACAAAAACATCACATAAGGCGTTTACGCAACTTTAAAGCGAGCGTGCAGCTTGGTGATCTTGTAATCGTAATAAACCTTTATGCATTTCCTGGATTTCTTTTCCCTGCACCAAAATATTCACCGATACGATGTCATCTGTAGAATATGGAGTTCACTTTTGATTTTTAGGGTTCCGTACTCAAAGGGTAAAACGAGACCCTATTACTAAGACTACGCTGCCTGTCTGTCTCCCTGTCTGTCTGTATGTCCGTCTGGCACCAGGCTGTATCTCATGAACTGTGATAGTTAGACAGTTGATAATTTCACAGATGATGTATTTCTGTTGCCGCTATGACAAAAAATAATAAAAAAAAATAAGTTGGCTCCCATTCAACAAACGCGAGGCGTTTGCTAGGCAATCTATATGTACGGAACCCTTCATGCACGAGTCCAACTAACGATTGGCTGGTTTTTTTTTGACACATTTTTACACAAGGTGCTTCCCCAAACTGAGCAACGCACTTGTACTGTGGGTAGTAGATAACTGATAAACATTCATAAACTTACTTTTCTTTTGTAATTATATCCATATTTATATATATTAACACCCAAACACAATATTTTTCCAGTAGTGGGAATCGAACCCTCACCCAGTGGCGCAAGAGGCCGGTGTTGAGGCAAGTGGTTGAAAATGTTTACTCATTTGTTAAATATTTAATGCTTTTTATTGAAACGTGAACAATAAAATAAAAATGTTTGTATCGCCGACAGCCGGGTAACCATAACGTGAAATCGATCACTTATTACTTATTATGACGATGAAACCATCTTCGTTTCAAGTGGGGAAACCCCCACGGTTGCAATCGAACAAGTTTAATTGCAAAACTTTGAAAGTTATACTTCGCAGCTTCGGAAATACGTTGCGCATTCAGTTAAAACTGCATTTCGTCTACGGATTGTAGCTTACGAGATGTTAATGCAACAATAACCAAATCTAGATGCTAATTATTGGGGCTGCGATTTAAAGTAAAGCAAATTATGAGCATTTCTCAACTAATAGCGTGATTTTAATTAAGCAATCAGATTTGAATTTAATAACACTTTTCACACAAATATGACAGATAATTAAAGTCACTTTTAGTTGTCTTGAAGAACTAACAAGCAACGACGTTTAAATTCATTCATCATTCTGAGAATACAAAATAACACCAATCATATTTTTTTCTAAAAGTGATTGCATAACTGGCAACTGTATAAAACAGATATTATCTATGTCCATCGCTATAAACAATTCATGATCTTCAATTCATAACGAATTAAATGTGTCGAGTAGAGAATAACACATGGCGAAAGTTATAGTTAATTCGTTTCTTAAATGTCAGATCTCAACCTCATGTTGGGCGGTGACTTGCGCAAACAATTTGATTTGCATAAGAAGATCATAGAAAGATTGTCGAAAAATCATTTAACACATAAAATATTGTTTTAGTGTGAGTTTGATAAACCGTAAATTAATACTCCATGCAGCTTATGCGCTGATTTAAGATCTTATGCAGCCTACACATATTAATATATTTATAGCACATTTTAAAATTAATTAATTTATAATTTTTAATCATTCTTCTATCTGCATAAACGGTTATTGATATTTTATATTATTAAAATACTAGCTTTAAGTCCATTTTAAGCAATATGATTTCTTAAACCATATTCGACTGAATGCATTTTTCAAAGAAGTTTACTACTCAATAATTTTTAAAAATAGTATTAAACGATCCAAACTCATACTCGAGAATAAATTATGTCAAAAATGTAAATTTATTATATTATAAATGTAGTACATAAATCCCAGCAGAGGGTGTTTATATACTACATTTAATTCAATCGCTATGTTGTGAACAAATGTCAAGTCAATACATCGGCTAGTTTTTTGAGTTTTGTAAACACAGAAGTAAATTTTATATTTACAAAAGGTAAAGTAATAGAAAGTGGAATAAAAAAATAAATTGTATACACTTAAACACATAAACAAAATTAGTACGAAGGGAGTTACGATTTATATATTTTTATGAGTTATCGTAGGAGGCAGGCGTATCTACAGACAATAAATAAATTCTCCAACGGCCCGTAAAACAATGTAGACGTGACGAAAATAGATAATCTCAAGAGCTTACACAGCGCAGCCTCTTACTTTGCATATTGAGTGATAGAATCAGAGGTAGTCTTTGTCCCTAGAAATTAAAAGCGAAAACGTTATCCGATAAATTGAAGTCTTTCCCAAACTTTTTTTATAGAAAAATGATTCAAATAAAAGTTGTGAAGCGGGACAATATATAAAGAACTTCTGAGTAATACAGAAAGACTAAAGTCGAATCGTAAATCACGTACCGATGTTTAATTTTTTATGAAACATTATTTTGATATTTGGCTATTTAATATAAATATTTAAGTCACAAAGGCACTTCCTA